GGGTATTATAAGTCACAAGGAGTGGATGCATCTCCACCAGCCATTCAGAACGATTTTGAGCCATATCATTGATTTTCTCCAGCCTTCATTGGTGTTAACCGTCCCGAGGACCCCAACCAGGAAGTCTACACCTTCCTACGTGGCTTAAACTAACTTTTGTGGATTTCATTGACTGGTGAAGCCATATTTTCGTTTGACCAACACTTGCTAGCTGCTTCCCAACCTGACTCTATGTCAGCTAACATTGCCCATAGTCGAGGAAGGCGATCGGTGGCTAGGCGTGCGTAACTCATGTCCTAACCATCTCAGTCGATGTAGCTTCACCATCTCTTCGATTGATTTACCCTCCTTACCTAGCACTCGACCGGTGTCTAACTTCGATATTGCTCACCCTATTATACCATTTGTAATGTACCACTCGTCACAGTCATACTCTCTCCTGTTTAAATGTATAATCTCCTTTTACTAACCAATCACACACATGTATCAACGAACCAAGCGCATTTCCGTTTCTCACCTTGTGTATGAATCTATTTATGACAAATGATAACCATCATCTAGCATTTGAAATTACTTTGTATTTGTATTCAACTCTCCACGTCGTTTACACAAGCATTATTTTATCACTGTATAACCCTTATCTATGAGTGAGCATTAGAGAGGTTTTGCGTGCACTTCGGATTGTGAGGGCGATTGTTACTTCCCGGCTGCCCACACCGTGGAAGTTGGTTGCGTGACCGCAGAGCCCAAGGGACAGCTGCTTCAGGCCGGTCACACACGGCCTGTTTTTGTTTGTTCTTTCTTATTTGGTGTGTCTCAGTAGCGTATTTATCACTTCTGCCCTGTGACACGGCAGCAGGAAGCGCGGTCGTTGTTAATCCGGGCCCCGACCGAAAGCTGCTACCTTGACGTGGTGGTCGGGCTTGAACACCGCAATGACCCAACAAGCTATACTGGCTGGAACTTATGTTCCTGCAGTTCCTACCATGCCAGGAAGATTGTTTGGATAGCGGTTAGACTAAAAGCAGTTACCCAATCCAATCCTATGACCTCAAATAAATCACAAAATCTCATGCCGGATCGGTCGTGGCCCGGATTAACAACGACCGCGCTTTCTGCTGCCGTGTCACAGGGCAGAAGTGATAAATACGCTACTGAGACACACCAAATAAGAAAGAACAAACAAAAACAGGCCGTGTGTGACCGGCCTCAAGCAGTTGTCCCTTGGGCTCTGCGGTCACGCAACCAACTTCCACGGTGTGGGCAGCCGGGAAGTAACAATCGCCCTCAAAACCCGAAGAGCACGCAAAACCTCTCTATTCCTCACTCACCTTTGTCTTCATCTTCATCTCTATTATCTCACCTTCCTTCTACTAGTGCAACTCCTCTACTTAATGGCTCTTCACTTCGACCGATCCGGCATGATATTTTGTGTTTTTGTTTGAGTCATGGCATTGGATTGGGTAGCTGCTTTTTGTCTAACCGCTATCCAAACAACCTTTCTGGCATGGTAGGACCTACAGGAACTTAAGCTCCAGCCAGTGTAGCTCGTTGGGTCATTGCGATATGCAAGCCCGACCACCACGTCAAGGTAGCAGCTTTCGGTCTGGAACGCTGGAAAGAACACTATGAGGAGCAGTTTAATTGACCCACATCCACACTTAGCCTGCCGGACATCCGACACCTCCCTGAATGGGATATAGACACAGGTCCTCCGTCCCTAACTGAGGTTACTAGAGCAGCCACTAATCTGAAGCAAGGCAAAGCAGCGGGACCTGATGGATTGACTCCAGAGGTATTTAAGTATGGTGGAGACATTTTACTGTCTGCGTTAACGGAGGTTCTAGGCAACGTCTGGGAATCAGAGGAAGTCCCATCGGGTTGGTGTAAGTCACTGATCATCCCGATATACAAGAAGGGAGACAAGTCTTCTTGTGATAATCACAGAGGCATTAGCTTGACTAATATAGTATCCAAAATCCTAGGCTCGATAATACTGCGTAGACTAAGTGGTGCTCGGGAGACACAAACACGAGAAAACCAGGCAGGTTTTAGGCCAGGTAGAGGGTGTATTGATCATATCTTCACCCTTCGACAGATTCTAGAACATAGGCATTCCTACCGGCGTCCGACAATCATTATATTTCTTGACCTAAAGGCGGCATTCGATTCTGTCGACTCGGAGGTTCTCTGGCGATGCTTGGCTGTAAAGGGAATGCCGAGAAAATACATTGCACTGATTAAGGCACTCTACTCGTACTCATGCAGCCAGGTGAGGGCTTATGGCGAGTTGTCATCTGAAGTGGTGACGACTAGTGGCGTCCGTCAAGGATGCTCATTATCCCCATTCCTATTCAACTTCGTCATAGATGTACTAATGGACTTAACCCTAACTCACTTCAGCGACTCAGGGATTAACTTGCTACCAGGGAAGAATCTCGTTGACTTAGAACATGCGGACGATATAGTCCTTCTAGGCGAGGACTCTGACAAAATGCAGAGTCTTCTGAACACCTTGAGCTGCAATCTAAGAATGTTTGGCATGCGATTCGCCCCTGCAAAATGTAAGATGATGCTGCAGGATTGGACTTCACCGACCCCTAGATTAGAAATAGGAAGTGAAGTGGTAGAGCACGTTGACCGCTTCACTTACTTGAGAAGTACCATCAGCCTCAACGGGTTAATCTCTGAGGAAATCTCAGCACGAATACAGAGGGCTAGGTTCGCATACGCCAGTTTACGCCGTCTCTGGCGTAGACGCGATATCCGACTATCGACCAAAGGGCGTGTGTACTGCTCAACAGTCCGCTCCGTCCTCCTTTATGGCTGTGAGACCTGGCCATTGAGAGCAGAAGACATGAAAAGATTAGCTGTCTTCGATCATAGGTGTCTGCGTTCCATCTCCCGCGTGAAGTGGTATAATAAGGTGAGCAATATTGAGGTTAGGCGTCGAGTGCTAGGTAGGTGGGAGGGGAAATCAGTCGACGAGACTGTGAAATTACATCGACTGAGATGGTTAGGACATGTGTTACGTATGTCTAGTCATCGCCTTCCTCGACTGACGGGCAATGTTAGCTGATATAGGGCCAGGCTGGAAAAGAGCTAGCGGCGGTCAAACGAAAACTTGGCACCAGTCAATGAAATCCACAACAGTTAGTCTAAGCCACGTAGGAAGATGTAGACTTCCTGGTTGGGGTCCTCGGGACGGTAAAAACCAATGGTTGGAAACAATTGGTGACATGGCTCAAAATCGTTCTCAGTGACTGGCGCAGATGCATCCACTCCTTGTGACTTATGATTTCCAATGAAACTGTTTTGTTCTTCATTATTACTATTCCTTTGTCTCACACCTCTGTTTACTGTCTATATTATGCATTTCTCCTACTTTCTTCTCTTCCTTTGTGTGCTACATGGAGTGTGGCGACTTGAACTGCCGCACATCAGTGCAAAGTTCTATGTCGAAAACAGACAGACAGAGACCCTTATCTATTATCCTGATTGAGAGACGTATCCACTGCAGCCTACCTCAATGGCTATAATATAGTCATTATTTCAAACAATTAGTCCCTTTAATAAATTTGGATAGTGTCATTAGAAGGCGGAGAGTATTTGAAAAAATATGGTGTATTTGCCTAATACATTTCGAACAATCTGATCACATATTGGCCGGCTTATAATTATTGAGAAGACCAATGACATTCTCTACCACACAAGCCTCAACCTTGCACAAAGTGATTATATTCCATCCCGTGGTATATGTGTGTGTAGTCACAAATTTTTAGGGAGGAGTAATCGCGTGAGGGTAGAAGAACATATAGCGTTGATAGCTAGCTGACATCAGTTAGAGGACCATTGGAAAGCCATCTGGGAGTACTGGACAGGTATTTCGTTAGCCTAGTTTGAAAATCTTCAGTAGTAGTGTGCACCCACTTCTAGAGTTCGAATCCAGGTCCTCCCGGTTACGAGGCTAGCGAGCTCGTAAACCATTCAGCCACTGGGACCCGGCCTAATGGTCCATAAATTCCAAATTCTGCCATTTCGTGACATAAATTTAGCACAACCGCATCCCTGACAGTTAAACTGAGTCAGGTAGGGAGATGCAGACTTCCGGGTTGGGGCCCTCGGGACTCTAAGAATCAATGGCTGGAGACAATAGGTGACATGGCTCAAAATCGTTGTCAATGGCTTACGCAGATGTATTCAGTCTCTGTAATATTCAGTCTCATATTCCTTTCTGCCATTACTGATTCTGTTTCACTCTTATGCTTGTCAAAACTCTATTGATTCTCTTCACCCATTTTCTTGTCTACCTTTGTGTGCTCTTTGGAGCGTTGCAACTTGAACTGCTGCACTTCGGTGCCAAGTTCTATGTTGAATCCAGCCAGCCAGCCAGGATCACAGGCGAGTAACTGACTTCTTGCCTGAGGTTTGCATGGATTTGATTCGTTACAAGGTTGGTGGCGAGCTGACATCAGAGGAACACACACACACAAATAAATTGTGAAACCACAGTAAACGCAGGTGGCACACTATCAGTTTCATCCATAGCATCGGTAACCGATGTGAGAATATCAGTAAAACGGATTGACAATACGAGGATTGTTTATTTCTTCACCGACGATGAACCAGAACAACAGGATTACAAATCACAAACTCTATGAATAAACGCCGACATGAATCACAAATAATAATACATCTGATTGTTTTTCTCCAGTCTTCTGCCGACCAGTGTACGATTAGGCAACCGCCGCCAGTTGTTCTTTCCCGCCAAAAGTAGAGATCAGTCCGAACAAACAAGCCATATGTTGCTCATTCAATGTTCGCTGCCATTGATAACGTCACATTTTTCAAGTAATAATAATAATCATAAATTACATAAGAAATTAAAGGCGGGGGATGTGAGAAATTATTCTTCAGATTGACTTAAAATCCGCTATTAGTTTAATGTTTACTTATTCGTGTTTTTCTGTTGTTTTTTTCACCTTTTTTTAACAATACAGAGTAGAACTCGACGTCATCTCTCCGAGTATAATCATGTTGAAGCAGAATGTCCATTTATTGATTTGAATGGTTTATTGAATAGAATTGAAGATTTAGTTGTTGATGTCTGTGATCGTATTATGAAACAAGCCGGTGATCTGTTGTTGGACGTTAATCCTGTGAGTTCGGGTTGTTTTTTGCTTAACTTGTTTACTTTTTGTTTATTATGTGTTTCTTTGGTTTAATTATTACTCGTCTTTCTTTCAATGTAGATTTCATCGAGAACCAACCAGAGAGGGCTGTTCATCCTTTTTTTGTGATACTTCAGCGGACCGCAATCAAACCCACCAGCAGCTATCGAACCTTAGACATCTAAGTTACGAGGTCAAACTCGTTAACCATTTAGCCACTTGGGCAGGGATTCAAGTCACCCGTGAATCGAAATCCCTACACGCCACTGTAATCTAAACTGGTTTTTCTGTTTGTAAAGCATACGCTACTCCACACTAATCGGTAGTAAGGAGCTAATTAGATACAAAAAGAAGTGACGTTACGTCATACGACAACTAGATTGACTCAGTATTTACTTAGATGGATAATCAAGTGTTGGTTTACAGGAATTCGTTTTGTTTCGTTACAGGATTTCATCATGAGTTGGCTGGAGAACCACTGGGAGTACTGGATATCTGTTTCGTCAGCCTAGTTTGGGACTCTTAGGCAGTACGCATCCACCACCAGGGTTTGAACCCAGGGCCCCTCCTATACTGTGAATTGGTAGAAGTTGAAATTCATGGGCTGGTCATTGTACCTTGTCTCAGTGGCTTAACGGTTTACGAGCTGACCTCGTAACTGGGTGGTCCTGGATTCGAACCCCTGTGGTGGATGCGTACTGCCTAAGAGTCCCTAACTAGACTGACGAAACAACTGTCCACTACTCCCAGATGGTTTTCCAATGGTTCTCTAATCGATGTCAGCTCATGATGAGATCCTGTTAATAGATAATATCGATGAAGGAAGTCGAGGTTATGTTCAATATGTGCTATGTAAGAAAGCACTTCAGCATACATAGCTGTCTTGCCCGGTCGATAGCTGCTGCCTTGACATATTGTTGGTCAGCATTGCATATCCTAGTGACCTAACGAGCTAAACTGGTTGGAATCGATGTTCCTACATACCCTAGTGTGCCATAAAGGTCCTCTTTGGTTAGCGGTCAGACCAAAAGCATTTGACATCATAGTCAAAGTCGTTTATACTATGTTTAGGGTCAGTAGAGAAAGTCGTAGTGCTGGAGAATATGGGTGTAATAGGAGTAAATTGACCCCTCAGATGACTATGGGGCCAGCTGTTCTACCTTTCCACCGAGTGTATGTAAGGGGAGGGAGAATTTCATGCCGGATCGGCCGGGGCCCGGATTAACAACGACCGCGCTTTCTGCTGCCGTGTCACAGGGCAGAAGTGATAAATACGCTACTGAGACACACCAAATAAGAAAGAACAAACAAAAACAGGCCGTGTGTGACCGGCCTCAAGCAGTTGTCCCCTGGGCTCTGCGGTCACGCAACCAACTTCCACGGTGTGGGCAGCCGGGAAGTAACAATCGCCCTCACAATCCGAAGTGCACGCGAAACCCCTCTAATCCTCGCTCATCTTTGTCTTCATCTTCATCTCTATTATCTTGCCTTCCTTCTACCAATGCAAGTCCTCTACTTGTTGGCTCTTCACTTCCCCTTCACTCTGTGTGCACTGATAACGATGGAAGCCAAAAAGCCACCACCGACTGTCTCCTAAAACCACGCCATCAATTTTATGTAGGAGCATTTAATGTTAGGACACTCTGCCAAATAGGACAACAAGCATCTCTAGCCAAGACTCTGGCATCCCGAGCCATTGATGTATGTTGTGTTTCAGAAACACGCATACAAGACCCAAGTGTGGTTATTCACCTAACCCCACCTGGCCAACAGGATGAATCTGCAAAATTCACCTTGAGGGTGTCAGGAGATGAGACGGCTAGCTCACGAGGATTAGCTGGTGTTGGGATAGCTTTAAGTACTAGAGCAGAAAAGACATTACTTGACTGGATCCCGGTAGATAGCCGAATGTGCGCTGTCCGCCTGAACGGATCAGTGAAAAGGAGAAAGGACTGCACTACTCGCCGATGCCTTTTCGTAATCTCCGCCTACGCCCCCACTGACTGCAGTTCGGACGAAACGAAGGATGAGTTCTACCAAAAGCTGTCTAGTTTGCTGCGAAAGGCTAGACGCTCAGATATAGTCGTTTTAGCTGGTGACTTTAATGCTCAAGTAGGGAAATTGTGTCAATCTGAGAAGAATGTTGGTGGCACATACGGAATTCCGTGCCAGCGACCGACCGACCGACCGACCGAAAACTTCACATCCCGACTTATCTTTCGGCTGCCCATAGCCAGTGGTAAGGTCTTAGCGCGGGCTAAACTCCATAAATCCACTTCAAACAAGCCATGTGTTACCGGCCTCAAGCAGTTGTCTCTTGTCCTCCGCTGTCAGGCAACAACAGTAATGATTCCGGCGGGGTTTCAGGTACTCCGAAAGGAAATCCACAATGGTGTGGACACTCGGGTGGTATAACAACCGCCTACACACCTCTATAAGCTCAAGAGACTTCCCACATCATCCATATCTCTCTTGATGGTGATTATGGGTGGTAATCAAGCGGTTATATGGTTTATTTTCCTAATTTTTTTTATTTTCTTCCAATAAAGGCTACCTACAGCCTCAGTTATATCTATGTTCTTTTTTGAACGGGAATTTGTGCTGTTCGATTGATGGTCTCAGATAGCTAATGAGTGTCAGTCTGCATTTCTTGTCATTGTGAAAGCATTACATATGTCATGCAGTTGTAGTTTACGTCTAATAATAATAATAATAATGTTTTGTCTTCTGTTTTTTGCATTATCCTCTTTCAGGAGTTTAAAGCACCTAAAAGTCCATTTAAACGCTTAAAATATGAAGATGCTATCGCTCAACTGAACAATTTAGGTATTACCAAAGAAGACTTAACACCTTTTCAATTTGGAGATGATATTCCTGAGGCTCCAGAACGTCGACTTGTTGATACTATTGGTGAACCAGTCCTGTTGACTAATTTCCCTGCTGGTCTGAAAGCATTCTACATGTTGCGAACTGAAGGCGATCGACGTCTTACTGATTCAGTAAGTTGATGTTTTCATGTAATCCCACTCTCCTTTCGTCTTTTATTCTTTGTAATATAAAGACTCTTACGCATGATTGTGAAGGGACATGACTGATAGAATTCAGTCTGCACCGAAGATAGGACTAGACACATTACACTAGTTACTGACTAGTGTGCAATCAAAACAAAAATATCCAATACAGTCCTACAGGAGGTCAGTCGCGAGCCTGAATAGCTCAGTGGTAACGTCTCTGACTGCAGCACTGGGTGACGCGGGTTCGAATCTCAGAAGGGACATCAGTTCCTTCAAGGTTGCAGATACGCCTTGCTGATGAGTGCCAACTAGCACAAAACCTAGGTCCAAGGCTTCCTGCCGATTGCCTCCAACCATCTAATACATTAGTGTGTACTTCTGTTGCATTGAATGCTCTTCTTTTTATTGCATTCTTTAAGCGTTGTCTTATTTCTTTCACTGATGTTATCAGCAATGGAACTTCAGTAGTTGTAAGAACAAATGCACTTCTTCGAAGCCAGATTGAAGAAAGCTATCGAAAATGAGTATTCTTTGCTCATTCTCTTATTTCTGTTTTCAAATGCTTCTGTGGAGCCAGTTAGCTGCATAGGCCGTACAATCAGGCGTGTTTCTCGTTGAATTTCCAAACATCGCCCTGCGTGGTGGTTAAGTAAAGGACAAACAAGATCTATTCGTAGTGCTATTCTATCTCATTTTGTGGATACAGAACACAAGATTGACGTTAACCATACTTTCAGGGGCATTTACCGCATACCTACAAATCTCAATTTTGCCTTAAGAGTTCGACTACTAAATATTCCTGAGGCTGGCTGTTGCGATCAATATTAAGAAGCCTTATTTGTGCGTCCAAAAGAAGTTAGTTCAGACATTATCCTTACCCCTATGGCCATCTAGGTTTGAATGATCCTGAATTTTTGTGGAATTTTCCTAATTTTATTTGATATTCTATTTGCTGCTATATTTTTTATTATTATTATAATTTAAGCATCTTTAATAAACTGTAATTCCATTGTGATTTTACTTTACAAATCGATATTATTAAAAAAGACACTAATATTGTTTGTGACGACTATTCTAGAATATTCTATGTATATAAACATATATGTATGATTGTAGAGCCAGAAGTGGAATTTATCGAAAAGGATATTCTTTGCTCAATTATTTTGTGTTTTATTTATGTCTGAATGATTTTGCTTTTGTTGTGCAGCTTAGGCTCATTACTTTAAGCGACTTGCTCGACTTCCAACCAAATGGATCAGCATGGTTTCGAACCCTATTCCACTCCTACACCAAGGTTTGAGCAGCCAGATATCACTACCCCTTCACACAAACAAACACACACACACTCAATAGAGGTGTGTGGCCCTCATTGCCCCAACTGTGTTGCATTGAATTACAAGTGGTTGTTGTTTTGCCTCTTGTTTACACATTTCATCGCGTGTCACAATTATCATCATCTCAAATTGTTCTTATCTTATCTTAAACCAAAAAACTTAAACTGGCATATATACACAACCGGCGTAGCACAGTGTGCAATTCAAATTGTATTAATTGAAGTGAAAAAGAATGTGCGCGTGAAAGGCTTCAGATTTTTCATGATAACGCTAATGATGAGCATTAATCACTCTCATGTGGTTGTTGTTGTTGCTTTTGTTGATGAGATCATCCTACTCTAACAGTATGTAAGAGATAAGGCTAACTGTATTATTGCCGGTAGCAGCAGCAGTAAATTATCAATAATTGATTTACCTGATTAAAATTAACATTTATTTACTGTGTATTTTATATAAACTTGGTACTGTGGCTCGTGCTACTGATAAGATTGTATCAGTAGTATATAAACAGACCTTCATCGGTAGCAGAAATCCAGCAACAAAACAGAAGACCAACCCTGTCGACTTTGGTGTATCTTTTCATCCACACACCTGAACATGCAATATACGATAGAAGGGATGCACACACAGAGGTCAAGATCAAGTAATCCAACATTATCGCTATTTCATACATTTATTCCCCTTGTTATGAATTTGAATAAAGCAAGAACAACAGCGGTTTTTGCAGAATAAAGTGGTACCATCATTGTTTATTTCGTTGGCTTCTCATCAACTGCTTATAGGCCAAAGACATTATTAAATATATCTACAGAAATAATTTCAACATACTTGCACAGAGTTCATTTTAAACAATTTGGTTAGTAGCCAGCTTTCACCACATTACTAATCCTCACTTAATTATTTCATTCTTCTAAATATTATCCATATATTCCAATTTCTTTTCTAAAGTGTGACAAGTTGAGCTGATAAAATGCACACTTCTGTTGGCTGGCTGGATTCAACAGAGAACTTGGCACCGAAGTGCAGCAGTTCCAGTTGTTACGTTCCAAATAGCACACAAAGGTAGACAAGAAGATGAGTGAAGAGAATCAATAGAGTTTTGACAAGTATAAGAGTGAAACAGAATGAGTAATGGTAGAAAGGAATATGAAGGTTAAAGAGACTGAATACATCTGCGCCATTGACAACGATTTTGAGCCATGTCACCTATTATCTCAGGCCATTGATTCTTAGAGTCCCGAGGGCCCCAACCTGGAAGTCTGCATCTCCCTACCTGACTCAGCTTAACTGTCAGGGATTTCATGGATGGATGCCATGTTTTTGTTTGGCCACCACTTACCCTTTTCCAACCTGCACCTATATCAGCTAGTAATGCCCGTCGTGGGAGGCGATGGTTAGGCATGCTCAGCACACTTCTGTGCTTAGTTTTACATTACTAATTCAGTTCTCTTCAATCGAGTTCGTGTATATCTGCTAATTTTGGATTTATTTTCTATTCTATATCAGACAAAGTTGGTCATATACTAATTTCGTCATGTCATCTGTTCATATTTTAGGTTGATCTGCTTGTCCCAGGTGTCGGTGAATTAGTCGGTGGTTCAATGCGTATGGACAATATTGATGAATTGATGAATGGTTATAAATCAGAGCAGATTGATCCATCTCCGTATTATTGGTATACAGATCAGGTAATTTTATTGTCTCTGGGTGTATATATGTGTAATATTTGTTGAGTATCAACGTTTGTGTGATTGAATGCTTGCCAAACCACTCGGGATGTATGGACTGGACTCCCGGATGATGCATTCCTGAACCTTGCGTGGTTGAGGTTGAATTTCGTAAATAAAAATATGACATACGCTGAGTTGAGTAACAAGATGTTGCAGCACTGTAGCATGTGCTACTGATTAGATTTATCAGTAGTATATATAAATAGATGCTCATTGGTATAAAAAACACCAGACAGCAAGGAGATAGAATTGATGTCAGTGAAAGCAAATGATACAGCGTTGTAGAGATACGTGGGAGACGATGTGAAAGGAACACAAAGAAACACACACAATACCAAGGGAGGCGAGAAGTAGCACAATACGGAAGATCTGTGCAAATGGCGCGTTGAAGATAAGGCGTACATAATTTGGCTATAAAGAGATACTGAATTCCAGATAAACATTCCTTTACCAGGTGTCTTGTCTTCTACCGTTACAGTAATGAGCTGAAGTCACAAATCTGCTTGTGTACTACATGTAATCTCTTAATATTCAGGTGGCACAGTGGTTAGGACTCTCGCCGACCATGCACATGGTCCGAGGTTCGATCCCCTGCCGACGCACACCAGATATCAATGGTTGGCCTGCAGAATTTGGGCTACCGATATCCATGCTGAAAATTCCATACTTGTACCAAAAATATGGTGTGGAATCAAGCTGTAATCAAAAATAAAAAAGACACAGTTATTGTCTAAGACTTGTGTTTTCTACAGATTCATGAAAAATATGCAGACACTTGTATATATATGAGTCCAAACTAAGTTCACACTTAATATTCAAGTATTTGTTTGCAGGGATTTCATTTGTTTCAAGATTTAGATCACGAATTGATATCCCTTGGAGGATCTTTGAAAACCACCAGGGAGTACTGGATAGCCAGCTATTTCGTCAGCCTAGTTTGGGACTCATCGTCAGTACGCACTCACCACAGGAGTTCGAACTCAGGACCTTCCGGTTATGAGGCGAGCTCGTAAACCGTTCAGCCACTGAGGCTACATTCAGTGGCCCGTGAATTCTCTATCCTACCACTTTGTGATTTTAACCCAGTCACTAGTCAATATCATCGGAGTGTTTGTCTACGAGCTTGCCTTGTAAGCGGAAGGTCCTGGGTTCGAGCCCCTGTAGTTGGTACATACTATCAATGAGTCACAAGCCAAGACGAAACAGCTGTCTAGTATCCCGTGGTTTTCAATGGTTCCCCAACCAATATTTATCCGTGATCACATTTAATAGTTTGAAAAAAATTAGGCATCAGGTGTTTGATACTCATTATCATAAAAGTTTTTGTATTTCCTAATGAACAAAAAAATGAGACGATATTTTATTTACTAACTCCTCGCTGTTTAATACTGCTAATATCTCTATCAGAGAAATATTAGACCAGAATCCTCTAAACCTGAGTCTATATAAAGTAGCTTCATGACAGTTCCTTATGTTGTGAAGTGGGTGAATCGGTAAAGACAACAAACTCCGTGCGTGTTATTGAATTTAATGTCTGTACGAAATTATAAGGACAGCATGTGTTAACTACATTTGTGTTGATTGTGTCACTTCATGGGGTGGAGAGGGTTGGAACCAAGTCAAAATTTGTCTCAGTCCGACATTCCTATCCAGACTATTAGGATTCCACTTAATATGAAGTGCTTCTGACATAAGACGTTCTCTCTGACTTGTGAAATTTTTCTGGGTGGTTTCAATATTGTCATAATCAATTTTGTGGCGTGATTCTCTATAGCGTGGCTGATGATTTTGCAAGCTTTTGTATTTCGGCTGGGTTACTCGGTGGTCAAATAGATGAATATAAGGGAAGAGGCTGTTCAAACAAGGCTACCAGTATCGACTAGATGCTCAGTTGTTGCATTTTTTATAGCATCATTTCCACCTCTTCCTAACCACGCAGGATTGTGTTCTGACACCCTTTTGGACAAAACTCACATTGAACGATTGATGTACCTAGCTACACAAGAGCAGGTGAGGTGATGAACGCACATAGAGTTGTTTAGCTGTGGGATCTTGTTCCTTAGGTTATTGAACAGTAATGGTAGACTAGGAAGCACTATTTTCAACGATTTTGCAGTGAATATCCTTTTCAAGGACTGTGACATTCCTTTTTTTTAGGGATGTAGGCAGCGAAGTTACCTACCTTTGGATTTAACTTTCAGATACAGCGTTTTCTGACGTTACATACGTTAAATCATATTTCATAGGTTTTACATGTATGTTCTTGTCTACAAAACGTGGCGATAATCCATTTTCCAATATGACTTTTGTCAGGTGATTTAACTCTTCCTCCACAGCATCCGAACCACATATATGCCAGATGCGAGTGGCAAGTGGTCGAATCGGGTTTCTTTTGCGGCCGATTGATTTTTTTGTCAACTGACTATTCTATGACACCTTTCTGTAAATCGATCTCCTGAGAGTTGCATCAGTCCCTCCTTGATTGTGTAGCTCGAGAATAAATTCTTTGGAAAGAGACTTCTCTAAATCACTTGTTTCGATATATATATATATATATATATATATATATATATATATACGGAATCCTTCGAAGTGAGGACAGGAGTAAGACAAGGCTGCCCACTATAGCTAATGGTTTTCCTGATTGCAGTAGATTGGATAATGCGACAAACAGCGGGCAGTGAGGAAACAGGCATAAAATGGACTCACACAAAAAACTTGGAGGATCTGGACTTTGCCGATGATATTTGTCTGATTTCCCACAAACTGGAAGATATGCAAGCGAAAAGCGACAAGTTGGCAGAAGAAGCATCAAAGATAGGTGAACATAGAGAAAACAGAGGTGATGAAGATTCCTGGATAAGAACAACAACAACAGACAACGATCAGCATAAATGGGAGGAACCTGAAAGAAACAACCTCCTCTACCTACCTGGGATGCATCGTTTCAACTACAGGCTGAACTGACGAGGATATCAAAGCAAGGATCGGAAAACCAAGACAAGCTTTCACTACTCTCAAGTCTGTGTGGAGGTCAACAGCACTAATCAGCATCAAAAATAAGATCCGGATTTTCAACTCAAATGTGAAGTCAGTGCTACTATACGGATCAGAGACTTGCACTGCGCGTCATAAAGAGCATCTCAAACAAACTACAAACCTTCATTAACAGTTGTCTTCTCTCAATACTCAAGATCAGATGGCCGGCCATAAAAGATCAGCAACAGAGATCTCTGGCAATGAGCGAACCAACCCAACAGGAACCGATTGTGAAACAAATAGGCAGGAAGAAATGGAGATGGATTGGCTGGCCATACTCTGAGGAAGCAGACCATCAAGTGACATCACTAGACAAGCCACTGCTCGAGTGGAACCCGAAAGGGAAGCGGCGAGTTGGTCGTCAGTGCAAGGGTGACTTGGAGGAGATCATGTGAAGAAGAGATGAAAATGTGTGGGCAGACTTGGAGCCAGGTGAGGACTCTAGCAGAGAACGGAACGCAATGGAGACGCACGGCTGAAGCCCTATGTTCCTCTAGGAATTAGAGGAAACAATAATATATGTATATATATATGAATTGATTCGCCTGTCTGACCTGGATCACTCTGGATACACCAATGATGAGCTAGGTGTCAGAGGAGTAAAACGACAGTTTATTGTTCATTTCACGTCAATCTGGCTAGCAAGCGCTAGCTAATGGTCGACGTGAGCGACTTTCAGCTGTCCATATCAATCAGTCATTGGGATATAACGATTACCCTATTCATTACTAACTAAAGTGACTAGTAATTATAGCTCTAAACTCCACAACACATCAGTTGTATAATCTGGATACTGGCATTTTGAATCCTGTTGTAATACATGTTGATCTAATTATTATTATTGTTATCAATAAAATACAACAGCTTATCAATTCAGTCTATCATCTCTTTTAATTTCTTTTTTTACTTTTGCATTTTAGCGTAAATTTGGAACTTGTCCACATGGTGGTTATGGATTAGGCTTTGAACGATTTCTTACATGGCTTTTAGGCAAAGATCATATACGTGATGTTTGTCTCTACCCTCGTTTCACCAGTCGATGTCGTCCGTAACTTCTACTCCCCGTGCGTGTGTGTGTGTGTTTGCATGAATGCATACTGACCGTTACTTTCTTTCTTTCTATTCTTCTCGCTTGTCGGCACATTTCTCTTCTATGTATCTAGCTAACTTTATTTATTTATTTATATTCTGGTTTAGATCATCATTGTATTTCTTTGAAATGTCTTTGATGTTTTATTGAAAAAAACATGTGATCTTTTGCTGCCCAGGTTGATGTTGTCAATCAAAATGCCTTGAAATGTTCAACGAAACGAGTGTCTGAAGTCTTTTCGCAGTCTTTGTTTTCATTCATAATGAATAAATAAATAAATATTCTTGGACAATGAACAACTATTTTTGTCTTTTTTCTTCTCTTTCATTATAAGTAGTATATCTATCATTTTGCAAGTAGCCACAAGAAATCACTGGCATTTACTAATCTTTGGATACGATATTCGGGGCTTCCTCAGTCTTCAGGATGAGATGAAATCTGCATGGAAGCCTCCAGATGTGTTTTCGTTATTTCTTCCTTAAAATACGTAAAATTAGTGTTCTCATCGGAATCGCTTTGGTACAACTATAAATTCACACTTATAGTTTCGAAAATCGAAGGGCAATTAATAATTTTTAGTACCATATAGTAGCTTGAAAGGCATGATCGGAAGATACTTTTAATAATAATTATAATAATGGCTTCATTCCAAAGAGTTCTTTGGATACACTGTAAAGGTTTCAGCACTAGTGCAATATTAGATAGTTGGAGGCAATCGGCAGGAAGCCTTGGACCTAGGTTTCGTGCTAGTTGGCACTCGTCAGCAAGACGTATCTGCAACCTTGAAGTAATTCATGTCCCTTCTGAGATTCGAACCCGCGTCACCCAGTGCCACCTACAGTCAGAGACGTTACCACTGAGCTATTCGGGCTCGCGACTGACCTCCTGTAGGACTATAGTGGGTAGTTTTATTGGACACTAGTAACTAGTGTGATGGCGAGCCAGGTCCAAGGCTTCCTGCCGATTGCCTCCAATTATCTAATATCACCAAATCATTGTGCACCGTGATGGTGAGCTACCTAGAGTGATGGCCACACTGCAAACCTGACTGATAGAATTCAGTCTGCACCAAAGAAAGGACTAGACACGTCACACTAGTTACTAGTGTCCAATCAAATAGTGCAATATATATTGCATCTAGTGTCCTCTTAACATCACACTGTAAGGTTAAGGGGGTAATTTTACAGGGTATAGGGTGAATAATGATTAGCGATTAAGTAGAATGATCGGTTCTCTCGTTGATATCAATCTGTGGCAAAACTCGAAAAATAAATCCTATGCTCCCTAGTGACTTGCTGCAGGATGGACTTCTATTGCCAAGTCGTGACAAGTGAGGTTCATCCAGTCGGGAGTGAGGATGGATTTCCCACCGATACCATTGGTTGGTGGTCGCGAAAAAATCACGAACCGGCAGAAGTTAGGATTCATGAGGTGGCCATTGGATCAGGTCCCAGTGGCTGATGAATTGTATACGAGCTTGCCTTGTAACCTGAAGGCCCTGAGTATGAACCGCTGTGGTGAGTGCGTACTGCCGACGAGTCCCAAACTGGGGTAACGAGACAGATGTCCACTACTTCCTGGTTTTCAATGGCTGTTTAACTGTTATCAAACTCAAGAAACATATCAAATCCCTATGTAACAACTCTTGAGGAATATATAAAAATGCAGTATTTGGCGAAGAGACTGTTTTCAATGAATTTTTCACCTAACTGTGTAGTCATATATATATATATAACCCTTGGGGGTGATTGAAATAGAGGTGTGAATACATTACATTAGATGATAATAGTAGTATGGAATGCAGTTAAAGTGTTTGTGATTATAAGAACAGTTAAACATCAGGTGGTAAAATAAATAATGTTATATACAGTTGAAGAGTACATAGATTTTGGAAGAGGGTTTCTAATTTATAGGATTAGTAGACGAACAAAGGAACTTTATTAAACATGATTTGAAATTTGATAAGATAGATTTTCTTGACATTGTGATAAATTTGATTTAGAATGACAAGTAAAATGATAGCTCAAAGTGAGAATAAGAGTAATTTTAGTAATAAGTGAAAGATACATAGATTAACTGTTATATTATTATTGTCTCCTTTAGTTCGTAGAGGAACATGGGGCTTAGGCACACGTCCCCATTGCGTTCGGCCTCTGCCAACGTTTCCACCTGACTCCACGTATGCTCATATGCTTTCATCTCCTCTTCGCATGACCTACATGTCACCCTCGCACTGACGATCAACTCGCCGCTACCCATTCGGTTTTCACTCTAGCGATGACCTGGTGTGTGATATCACTTGATGGTTTGTTTTCTCAGATTATGGTTAGTCCAGTCCACTTCCATTTCTTCCTGCATATTTGTTGAACAGCTGGTTCCTGCTGGGTTGGTTCGCTCATTGCCAGAGATCCCTGTTGCTGATCTTTTCTGGCCAGTCATCTGATCTTGAGTAGTATTGAGCGAAGACAGCTGTTGATGAAGTTGTGTAGTTTGTTCGAAGTGCGGCATGTCTCCGACCCGTATAGCAAGTAGCGCTAACTTCACATTGGAGTTGAAAATCTGGATCTTATTTTCCTTTTCATGCTGAGTAGTGCTTTTGATCTCCACACAGACTTCAGGGTAATGAAAGCTTGCCTTGCTTTCCCGATCCTCGCACTTCCTTCCGCCTGTAGTTGAGACGATGTTTCCCAGGTAGGTAGGTAAAGGAGGTTACTTCATTCAAATTTCTCCAACTTGTGCTGATTATTGTTGTCTGTTGTTGTTGTGGCTGTTGCTGTTGGCCAGGAATCTTCATCACCTCTGTTTTATCTATGTTCACCGGAAGGCCTATTGTAAGATCAATTCATTTCCCATCCTTGAATCAAGTCAACCTGTCTCGGATCAGCCTAGCGTTGTTGCAACCCAATTATCCATGCCTAACGTGTCTATCTCCCCTTGTTTAATGAACTGTGTGTGTTTTTACATCGATTCGTTTAGTCAGACCGTTGAATTCATGACCCAATCAGAGTATTTTGTGAACTGTTAATTTTGCTGACCTATGTCTTACTTTGTACTATTCTGTCGAGTTTATCTTATTTGTTGATCTTCATCTGTATCAGCCTACCTGGTGAAGTATCCAATTAAATTCTATCTTCGTGCCTATGCACTGTCTACCTCTTAACCGCTCTCTGTTCTATGCCCTGCCTTACTTGGGTTCATTTTTCTACTGACTACTTATCTGAACGGTCTTGTCTGATTCCGGCTAGTTCGCAATTTTGGCTTTAACGTTATTCCGCTCTGATAGCGGTACAATAATAATAATAGTATATTCTCATTGCTTTCTGTTAAGCGTTTTGCTTTGTACTCTTGAAACCATTAAGGTTTGTTGTATAAATAATTATTGATTTGTTTATTAATAGTACCGTAGAAACAGTGATCGGCTTCTTGTTTGTTCTGGACCGGGATAGCCTTTATCTAAGCGTGACTTAATTTCAAGCGATATTGCGCTTACAGTAATTAAAAATTTCAAGAGTACAAAGCACAACGCTTAACAGAAAGTAAAGTACCGCTATCAGAGAGGAATAACGTTAAAGCCAAAATTGCGAACTAGCCGGAATCAGACAAGACCGTTCAGATAAGCAGTCAGTAGAAGATTGAACCCAAGTGTGGGTCCATTTAAAGCCTGTCTCTTCGTTAACCTCTGTCTGTCGCATAGAATAACTAGATAAACAAAATGAATCCCTCTACAGTGAAGGAAGAAATAAGGACTGTACTTACCTACTTTATACGCAAAGGTCTAGCTTGAATTCATGAATTGCTAAGAGCTCCTCTGTCTTTAGAAGCTTAAATCGAAGGAAACGTGACAAGTTAACATGAGACGAACTTTGTCAGCTTAAGGACTCCATAGATCCAGTTAAGAAAAATAATATAATATACCAAATACCACGTAATGACAGTGAGGTCAATTACACATAGGTCAAACTAGTAGGTCGGAATCAGTTGGATTATCAGAATATAAAAATTCAGCTAGACCTAGACCCTCCTAAGTCAAATAACGCAGAAAAAACTTGGCTGGTGCAGTGTATTCACACACACTAGGGTGAACGTATCAAAAAGTAGTATAATTGGGTGGAGAGAGAGGTTAATCACTTAGTCATTGTGTGTCACTGAACACCGCACACGTGCAACCTAAGTGACACAACGTATATACCGGAGATAAGCGGAGTTGCAAAAAATAACATGTGGTGGGGGGGGAGGAAGAGAAACAAATATACACATGAGGCCATGACTAAATTGATTTGATAATGAGCAATAAGTTTTGCTCTAAATGTCATCCAGTTATAAATACTGCGTCAGTTTATATTTCTTTTGAAATAAACCATCTGATATGGAATGATATCTTTTAATAATTCTTCTTTCTTCGCTAATTTTCCCTTCACTTTCATACACTTATTCCCTAAATGAATTCGAACAAAGCAAGAACTAAACTTTTAGCAGTTCTGCTAAAACTGTGGAACTAGCTGCAGTAGCTCTGTAGTGGTAGGTAATTCCCCAGAGTTGTTAGCAACAGAATTAATCACTGAACGTTGGATGCTGATTTTCATTGTTTAAGTCAATTTATTTATCTGAAGGCTTACAATTAAGCATCCACGCCACATTAGTTCGTGTACGATTCCTAGCTAGTTAAGCAATCATCTCGCACTACAGTTCGTTCCCAAAATATAATTCGTAATTTGAAGGATCATTTCCGGTGTTTTGATTTGCCCTTGCTCTACACGAAACGAATGCTATAGACGTTGTGGGTATTACATCTTGCGATAGTATAAGCTATACTGTCCGTGAACGTCAACTCCACGAGCCTCTGAAGCTCCATGCAACAAACTCCTTCTAGATGATCGGAATGGTTATAAAGGATTTGATATACGATCTCCAGGCTAATCTCTGGAAGTTTTAGGAATAAATAATCTGTACAGTTCTTAGTATGAACAGACGTCGCCTTTTTCGTGTTAACACAATAGGTTTACTTTTTTCTAGTATGAACTTCGCTTCATTAATTCCGCACTATGTTTTGACATTGCGATATGTACTATTTGAAAGGCTAAAAATGTTATAATTAGATTTTGTTTCTCAGTTTCTCATGTAATGACTTCAGATGAAGTTCCTCTTGGTGTTCAACACTTCTAGTTCAATAAATGTTGAGGGAACCAAAAAATGGCGTAAATTCGAAGTGCATGCGAGCATTAATCAAAATCAGTTAAAAGCGAGGTAATTTTGGCGAAGCGGTACATTTCAAAACATTTGGGTGATG